GAGTTAGAAACCTCATTTAGAATATTTTTTATTTTATTTTTGATTCAGCATGTGAAAAGAGTATAAAAACATAAAAATCATTGCAGCTTTATAGTACCGTATGACATTGAGAAGTTTGTTCATATAAATGAACTATGAGGTGTCATTCTTTTTTTGTTTTTATTTCTTTTTATATTTCTCTTATTTTTAAAATTTATTCCATAATGACATATGATGATGATAATTTCTGCATATCTATATTCAATTAGTTGAACGTTAATAAGCTTATTGGATATCTGAACATTTATAAATATATTATATGATAGTGTTGTCTACTTTTATTTTTATTTTCAAACATTTAGCACTGAAAAGATCTGCAAGTTCCATACATACAATGTCTGTTACACATACATCTCAATACATTTTTTGACTTGCTGAATCAAAAATGAAATTACAAATATTATTAATGTAAGAGCTACACACTTTACTTATTTTATTTATTCAGAATATTACATATGTTTAAAGCAAATGATAAATTAAAATGAAAAACTTAGGTAAACTATTTATTCATTTTATAACTAATTAATAAAAAAATGGTTATGATTTATTTTTCAATATTTAAAATTAATAGTTCTACACATATGATCAATGTTGAATATACATAGTTACAATGTTTTTTCAAGGTATCAAACCATTATAAATAATGCCCCAGTTTTGATTTCGACTAATAAAATATTTTGGTTTTTGATAATCAGATGTTTTGGTTTCAGAATTGATTTTTAAATAGTTCAAAGGGTTTGCAATTTGTTTTTTCTTCTTCATTATTTCTAAATTAATGATAATACTTTCAATCTTCAATAAATAGAATATTTTGTTGATTCTTTTCCTGTTTAGAAATTTGAATTTCAAACTCCTCAACAATTTCAAACATAGAAATTACTATATAACAAAATGTTTATCCTAAAAGGAACTCTCTATAATTGTAATGTATACAATTTATGGTTTATTTTCAATTACATGGGATCTGCTATTATAAATAATGTAATTATTATTAATGTAACTTACTAATTTACATTCACCCTAGAAATCTCTCATCAGATTTTTGAAAAATAACAACAGGAAATATTAATGTACACATCAAAAGTAAGTATAAAAACTCAATTTTTTAAATGTTTTATTCTTTTCAATTTTACTTTGTTGGAACAAAATTCAGTAAAATCTGTCTAAACCAGAACCTGTACGCACTGCAAACCTGCCTTAACTGGAAGATTCCTCTGGCCATGAAGCTATATGGTATTTTATACAACATAAAATGGAATCTGTCCTACCCAGAAACGGAACAGTTTTTCATGTCCTATAGGGGGGAAAAAATCTTTACAAAACTGAATTCCTGCGAATTTAATGCAATTGGCCAAAATGCAAGATATTCTTAACATAATGAATGCATATGCAAGTCTCTTTTAAATTCTTTATCTCATGTGATTTGGTTGTGACAATCGCACTGTGAAAGGGAGCTGACAGCGTAGAATTTGACCTTGGGATCATGTGTCTCTCAAGGGGTAGGCCGTAGGGTAATGCCCTCCTTCCTCCAAAGCAAGGGGAGGTGTATGGGCATGACTTCTGTTTGTCTCTCTCCCTGCCCCACATTCAAAATCATAGCACCTCGGCCAAGGATGCATTGCTCAAGACCATGCAAAGTTTCAGAAAATCATAGTAGTCTGGACTGTGACACAGTGTGCATTAAAAGACTCATCAGGCAGTCCAATTTAATCCATCAGGCAGTGAGGTGGTGTGAATTTTTTTGAGTTTAACAATGCAAAAGCCATAAAACTCTAATATTCGATGAAAAGTTAAAACTTATAGAAGCAAGAAAAACTCAGAAGTTGTCAGTGAATAATGTTTAATATTCATTTAAAGATGGTTTCTTCCATTAATACATTATATGAAAATCTATTTTAATAATCGTAATAAAATCATGTAATTTTTACTTTGCTTCAATTACTTTTTACGTACATTAACTTACTTGTTACAGAACAGGAATATCAATATCACAAGTGTCATTAAACAGACAACCCTGCATAAAACGGACACCTCCCTTTTTCTTGTCCTGATCGATTCTGACTTAGATTTTACTGCATCACCAAAGTGCATGACTATGATTAGTTCAGTTTCTACAGCAATTCTTAGGAATCATTTTGAAAAGTCATTGAGAAATAGACCTTTTTCTGACTGGGACTTCTGGTAAAATGAAAGATAATATTTCATCTGCAGAGATATTTGGCAAATAACCCAAAACTCAGACATTTGTTGTCTATACTATTACACTCTTCTCAAAAAGTGAACCCAGCACACTGAATTGCATGAAATTATGAAGTTGTTTTGGAACCTGTAAGCAAAATCATAAGCATTTCATTTGGTTTTGGTTTCAGTAAAATTATTTATCGAGAAAATGACAGTTTTGCTTTCACTCTCAAAACTGAAACCAGTTTGAATGGTTTTGGTTACAGTTTCAGCTTAATGCCTTATATTTTATTTATTAAATATGAATCAAAATCAAATTAAGATTGAACAAAACAATTATAATAATGAACATTATTTAGTTACCAAACAAAGGTTTAAAAATTGTTTATTATTCTCAACAAATAAAAAAAATTATCTTGATCTAGAAATCAAAATTTTACTTAAATTTTTATACATACAAACCTGAATGAACAGCCTGATTCACACAGATCTGGGTATGAAAGTATCACTGGCATACGTTGTACTTCAAGTTGGTGTGGTTCCTGATCTGTATTCTCCTAATAACAAATAAGGAAGATAAAAATGTACTCGTGACACTAGATACTCATTCATTTCTTCACTAAGCAAATTAATTTTGGAATAGATAAATGGGGACAAAATTCTTTAAATCATTCTGTAATAAAATTAATTCAGATTCTGTTTCTAAATCTACTTTTCCTTTATCTACAAATTTGTTCTTCAAGTAATCCATGCCTAACTGTCATTTCTTAGAATTTTTTATTTCTCCATTACTACTAAATGTCTCAGCTGAAGAGCAAATTTTTAATAACACCCAATAAAAAAACAATTCATTATTGCAATGTATTGGAAGGATAAAACTGGAATGCAGTGTACATTAAAAGTATTGATGTTTTGAAGCATAAAATTGTAAAAAGCATTGATGTTTTGCAAAATATAGTGGATGACATTAAAGAGAACCAGGGTAGATTGCTTTCACATGTGCAAGGAATGTTAGCGGAAAGATTTGCTAAAGCAGTTTTAAAATATAAATCTATAGGGCGAAGAAATATAGGACAATTCAACAAAAGATGGGTTACTCAGAAACATCTGGAGGAATAATCACCAGATCTACTGTCTTTTAACAGGAACAGGCACCAGACCTATTATCCTGCTGCTCATGATGATGATGATGACATAAATTCACTCTTTAAGATGAAAGAAACAACTCATATCTCATTTAGGACACTCAAAATGGGTTTTAAAGGTCTAGGGTGCATCGTTTCTGAGTTATGAGGGATGGTTGTGTTATAATATAAAAATTATAATATCTATTTGAAACATTTTCTGAGGATTAATTTCCAATCCAGCAGTAACATATTTTTGAAGTGTTGTGGTGATGGTGACTTATAAATTGCCCCAAAACATCATCCTTTCCTCAGCATAATTTTTGATGTACTATTATACCAAAATAAAAATACTGATGTTAGGAAAAATGATATATTGCTGCCATCCATAGATGACCATCTAGCATTACAGTACTATTTGTCCCATAAGTTTGTGTCAACATTCTTATTAAACTTTCTATTTCATTTTCAGAAATTCATATTTTATTAACCGATTTGAAGCATTATCCACTTAATTTTATTTGTTGACTCTTTAAATATTGCCACAATAAATTGGCATTGTGATAAAGTTTCTCATATCTTTAATATGGGAGATCTTTAAATAATTATTATCGATGTACAGGATTAGTGTAACTGCAAGGGGGAAGGGACTTATGATAAAGATTGATTGACGAGCCTACATGTAAAATACAATCAAATGTATTGAAAAATAATGTCTATGCTTACAAACACACAGATTTAAAAGATACTTTCAGAAGGATGCTTTTGATTTATGTAAACAATCCAGAAATATGTTTGCTGAGAAAATCAAATAAATTCATAAAACCTGCCAGGAAAATAGTAAGTACAAATAGATTTTCTTCCTGAAGAAGACACACACTTTTGACTATTTTTGAGGTTGAATAAATAAACAAATAATGAATCTTAATAGTAGGCAAGGAATTTCTTCAGTTTCACCTACTTTGTTATCCATCATGTTGATCGTAGAACTGAAGCAACTTTTTTTAAAATCACAAACATTTTAAGAACTTAAGTTAAAGAAGTATAACTTTTTTCATCTTTTCAGTCTCTTGGATAATTCTTAATTCTGCTGCTATTTTACACACTTAAGTTCAATGTTAGTTAAAGGCAGTGAAGGAAGAAGTTGGATTAGATGCCATTTTATAACAATTTTAACTTAAAATTTGAAAAATTTGGGATGTAAACTGATTAAATATAGCAATCTATTTTCGTTTTTGAATTTTGATTATCATATTTAGTGGTAATTTCTTGTTCAATTTCGTTTAAATCAGCATAAGAAGGAAAATTGATTCGAGAATTTTAACCTAAAAAGAAATCTCGGGTCATTTCTGCTGCATAAATCTCTTTGCAAAATATGAACATTAAACAGGGGCCTGAAAATTGAGAAAAATTAAAGATTTAGAACGCATTTATAATAAGCACGAAATCTTCGATGTCATTGTAATACAAAGAGAATTAATTATAGTAAAATCCGAGATAAGAGGGAAGATCCTTATCTCATGGAGGAAGCATTGATGGGCTACTAGATAACAGTTTCGTTTAAATTCGCAATTCAAACGTTTCGGGCTCCAAATCGACCTACCACTTTTTAGGATCGATGTACATTGAATGGGAAGTCGACTATGATGAATGCGAGCACTTATGATACATATCGATTCATCCCGTCCTGTACAAGCGCGTTTCTCTGCTTCCCGCTAAACGCCTGCTAAACGCTTCTGTCTCTGATAGTGTGTTGCACAGGTCCAAGCGTCAGCGCCTTAAAAATGGTTGTTTGTTGATGTGTACTATCGTTAGTTTAAAGTTTTTCGAATTTTTGTTTAGTCAATTGATGTTGTGGTGTTCGACAAGTGCAAAATGGACTGCACTCAGGTTCTTGAGAGCGACGAACTCAATGACTCTCTGGCATATAAATACAAAGTAAAGGTTTGTATTGAGCTTTGAATGGTTATATAGGATATTATTTTTAAAATTTCTTCTGTATAATATTTAATTTATGAGTTCAGTTAATTGCTTTCACACCTTCCACAATAGACAAACTTTGTGTGTGGTTAATTGTTCTAACTTTTCTTTGCAGGTTGCAGAACTCAAAGTGAATGATAATCTCTACCCAATTTTCAGTGGCAGCAATCGTATTGGTCGAGATCCAGAATTCTGTTCTGTTGTTTTCAATAATATGGTAAAGTCCATAAACATTTTCATTAAAATTTATTTTGAAAAAAAGGATACAGACCTAGTAGTGTAAATTTTTTTGTAGACATGCAATGAGCATTTAATTCACTTGAGAAGGTTTTTTGACATTTTATCATAACCTTATCAGACATTTTATTCAATTCTTGGAAGTGGAGAAACGCAAAGAAGACAGATTTTTAATTGTGCCCTTTGATGTCAATATTTGGGTTGTTTACATGCTTGTCCTATACTCAGGAATTGTTTTGTTTATTGAATGCAATCAATTTAGAAGATAATTCAGTTGGTACACATATAGCATGGTAAACAATGAATCTTTTTTTATGGCATACCTTTTAATAGCAGGAACCTTCAATGTTACACTCAATCATGAAATTTAAATTTCTGGAAGTTAGTGTTCATAATACACATCTCATTGTTTATGATGATGGGTTTATTATTGTATTATAACAGTAATCTTCACTACAACAATTATTTATGTTTATGGCAAGACTTTAAAAATGACCACTCCAATGTTTTTATAATATTCTTAAACATTTAAGCAGGGAATTTTTCAAAGCAAGATTTGAATAAAATCTTTGTATGTATCAGAAGTAGTTAATTAATTTTTTGTCCTTTCTACCTCCCTTCCTTACAAAAAAACAAACAAACATTGGCCTTATTATACATAGTTAATTTTTTAAAGTTAGTGGAAACTGAGTGATTTTTGTTGTATTTTCAGACTCTGTCAAAAGAGCATGCAGTAATAGAAGTGGAGGACCGGTTTTCACATCTAATTTATGACCTGGGCAGTAAAAATAAAACCAGGGTTGGAAAGGTGAGTGTGTAGTAACTGATAGAGAAAAAATAAAAGTATATCTTTTGAAAGAGGTTGATATTTATTAAAGTAGAATGCATATGCATTGCAGGTGATGTGTGTCACAACTATTATTGTGTCCAGTACTGCAACCTTTCTTTCAAGTTATATTTTATTTTTAATAAAAATAGTACATTTACCTATAATTCTGTTACTTGCATAATAGCATCTCCAAGCTCGTTTGGTGTTGGATGCAAGAAGTTGTTTTCCTTGAACACATATTTAGTCAGTCTTATATCAAATGAAGTTAGTGTCTTTGCCTTTTATCCCTAACAGCCAGGGGCCCAGTGCCATTAATAACCAAGGTTCCCAAAAGGTCGCCCAACTGGGTACACTTGGTGACTCAAAGTATGTAATTTTCTTGACTTCATGGATCTTGGTTAAGACGTTTGGTGACCAGTGCCAGCAGTAATTTCATGTAACCATCTTTATCATATTAGTCACGATTCACCTATGTTTCTATGACCATATAATTTGTGGCAGCAATGGTGTAATGGTTATCGTATCGGACTGTTATACCCAAGCTCGTGGATTCAAACCCAATCGAAGCTATGGATTTTTGAGGGCGAGAAAATCCTTCACAGGGGAGGTAAAGCCAGCTGTTCTATGTTAGTAGATTTACTGCATTCCTAAAAAATAATAATAATAAAAATAATAATAATAATAATAATAATAATAATAATAATAATAATAATAATAATAATAATAATAATCATCATCATCATCATCATCATCATCATCATCATCATCATCATCAGTGGATTGATCACAGATTTTTTTCTAAAATTGGAGAATTATAAATATTGTTAATTAACAGGCTGCATTTTAAATATTTCTGTGCAAATTGAACAACTAGATGTTTTTAAACATATAAATGTGTAAGATTTATCTTACTTTCCAAAAGTTGCTCGCATCTCCCACTCTTCATCATAACACTCGAAGTTATCATCCCTTTGTACCTCAAACATTATAACCCTAGATTCTCTCTTTTTTCTGGCTTCTGACCAAAATGTATGTTAAAATCTTTCTTGATTTTCCTCCTTTGACTATTCTTGTCAATAGATTCTAAAATAATTTTTTTGTTTGAATATTATTTCTCATCCTATTGATTCTGACTGATAATCTCTGAACTTCTAGAACCATCTTAAAGTTTCTTAATGATTATGTGTATTTTACAAGTTCTGGCATCACTGCGAAGTCATGGAGATTAAGCAACTCGAGATTGCGGCTTCCTGGATGAGTCTGGGAATCCCAAGGATCTCATGGCCAAGCTCCTGGCTGAATGAAGAATTAAAAAGCAATGACTGACTATGTTAAATGAGGATTACTCCACATTTGACATCAGTATGTGCTTATAGAACATTGTTAGGAGAAAAAACGTAAGAGAACAAGAAAAAAGTAACCACTTAAAAAAAGGTTTTCAAATGTCTATAAATCATCAGCATGTTTCATAATGCAGATGCTTATTGCAAGTTGTTCAGTTATAAAATTACAATGTACAAACTACAATGGAGCTGAGATAAGGACAAACGTCAATTGTAGAGGTTATAAAGAAAACTAAGAACTAAATCAATAAATACTAATTCACTACTTCAGAATAGAAAGCAATGAAAATCAATTTCAGGAGTAGTAATTACGATGAAATAAGTGCTGAAACACCATTCACGGAAATACAATTGGATATGAGATAGAATAACTGCTGAATCATACGACACAGCAGTAATGGGAGTATCAAATTGGGTACACCTTGTGGAAGATCACAGTAGGATGGCCAAAATATTGGGACCTGTGCCTAGGATGTGGCGTGTCCCAGAAAGCCAATTAAATACTGACACCAGCCATGGAAGCTGATGTTTTCAGCAGTAATTGGAGTACATTATGCACCAGTAAGATAGAATGCTCAAGATGGGGTAGAGTTTTATGAGGAACTTCAGGAAACAACGAGATCAAACAGGAAGAAAGGACGTTTCAAACATTTTAGTTTTTGGAAGTATCACAGAAAATGTGCCATTTTCAGATTCATAGTATTGTTTTCAAGGAATATGTTATGATTGTTATTCAAATGTTAGAAAACAATCAAGGTAGTAACTTTTAAACTGATTCATTCATTTCATACTACATGGTAACAGATTTAAGAATACGAAACGTCAATTAAAATTTCCACAATGTTAGTATTCATGTTTGAATATATTTAGGAAACAAAAAAATTCCATTTACAAAGATTGTTCTTTTATGTACATTGTATGTCTTATGTACTTTTTGGTTTGTAATTATCATTGTGGTGGTGTATCCTAATAGAAAATCAGTAGATTTTATTTCCACAGATTAAATACATGTAAATGTGACAGTTTTTGTTGTTTCATGTGAATAATTCGTGATGCCAATATAATGAGTTCAGAAATAATTATTATTAAAGGTTTAAATAATGTAATGAATTCAGATACAGTTTGGAGAAAATGTTTAAACATGGTGGAGAATTATCGAATTCCTGGTGGTCCATTTCATAGACATTGGCGTATGTCTTGGTTCTTATTGATTCACTCAAATTGATAGGGAATTTATTTCAGTGATTTTTAAAGGTCCTCATGCTATATGGTGAGACTTCATGTGAGCTCTCTTGCAAAATTTTATGCTTCTCTTCATGAAATTATTCGATTACTTTGAAACCGTTTTATTTGCGCAAATGTACGTGAAGGTTAGAAGATAATTTTATTTATTTATATATTACAGGGAGTAAAAATTGCTACATAATTACGCTAATATGGCATGCCCTGTTTGTGAACCTGAACAAAATATCTAAATAACAAAAATTAAACCTAAAAAATAAGTGTTTATGTAAATGTAAAGTAAAGGTAGAGAAATGGTGTAAAGTAAATTTACAATACTGAATGATTTAGTGCATCTATGATTAGACTTCATAAAACTACGATCCAGTTTCTAAGATATTTACTATCCTGTTGAATTTAAAAAGTTTTAAACAGGTGGGAAATAAGTTCAAAATGTTGACTGTTAGATCTTGTGCCTTCTTTTTCTGTGGAGGCTCCTGTAGTGCAGTTCTAGTTACCAGTGGTTGGAAATAGGTGTTCTGAAGTGAGGGCGAATGTTTCTGCAGTTTTGTAGTATCTTTATTAGAAAAAATCTTCCTCAGTTAGGTAGAGAACTGTCACTAAACATTCAAAGGAATAGAACCAACTGTTGAGTTGAGTACTATTTACATTTTTTTATGAAATTTATTAAATGATTCTCAAATTGATGATGATAATAAAAAGAAAGGTTTTGGAATATGTATTTAAAGTGTATTAGAAATTTTTGGAGTTGTCACATTGCAGTGACTGTGAAATTCTATAATCAGGAGCTTGTGTGAATGTTATAACAATAGAATAAGGCTGATGGCTGAGGAAATTGAAATAAAGGGTTGACAAAAAGGGGTTTATTTGTAGAATTGTTTAAAGAATATTTTATATTGATTTGCAAAAAATGATTTTTCATTTCAAATAATTTTGTTTCAGACAATCCTGAAACCTCACATTCGCTATCAACTCCTTGACAAATCACAAATCCTCTTGGGTGATCTGTCAGCAGAGTATTTTATTATTCCCGAGGAACAAGAAAATAAACCATTTGCAGTGATTCAGGAATCAGATGGTAAGTGGTTCCAGATGTACCAGATTTTCCTTTTTGCAGCAGGATGCTGCATGTTGATGGGCGGTCATCATAGCAATGCACTCAGTTTCTATGTGTCTCAGCACATAACCTCTTTTCCCTTACCTGATGTACAAATCTCTTTTCCCTTGCTGCCTACCCAGTCTAGGCTCTGCATTGAAGGGTTGGTTAATTGCCGACCCCCGATGTGTTCTTGTCAAAGGAGTCTAATTGAACAGTTATATTTGTTATCTCCTCTGTTTAAATATAAATCAACAGTTTTGTTCTAGATAGTCCTATTTCACATGGTTTGTTTCGAAAAAGAAGGAGAAAAAGATTTCAGTTCAACATCCTTTGCCTTTAAATATATAACAAATTTCACTGTGCAGCATCTTTTGACCAGCTACACAGTACTTACATAAAATGTAATAATTGATATTGTATATTTGCAGGATTATCTTGATTGAATGAAAATGTGTCATAATAGCCAATTTCTTTGGTACAAATAGCATTTCCTCCACATGTTTTCTAATACCATTCTGAGCACCTCTAATCAGAACTGCAAAATGTTAAGCCTTTTTCACTATCATGATTCTTTTTGGTTGATGTCCTTCCCACCTGGTGTACAAGTGATTTTTTGTCTTTCTTTTCTCTGTAATTTGAAAACTATCTGTTTTTAAACTTGCTTTTACCCTTTGTAACAAATCATAATTGTCATCATTAGTCGTTGACTCTTCAAGTAAAACTACTTAGAGCTCACTATTCTTGTATGGTATTGACATCTGAACATAAACTTCGTTTATATTTTCAAACTTACTTTCCTCTATCTATTGTTATTGTTTTTATTAGTGTTACATAACAATCTATTAATTTTATTTGAGGTTTTGTGAACTTTGTTGTTTATTATTTTTAGTTGAATGTTTCCTTTGATTGTATCTCCTCATTTTGTTAAATCCTATATTTAGCTCATCAATCAAGATTGTTGTATGCACCTAATTTAGTTTTATGCCTATAACGTGGTTCTTTCTTTCTTATAGTTTAGACTTTACCCCCATTTGCACCATAATTTGATGCTGACATTTAATATAATTAGTGTGGACTACACTTCAGAAATCACATCAAATAAATATGCATTCTCCTTTCCAGATGAAGTAATCCCAGACACACCTGTGCAGATGAAGTCGAGGGAGTCCAAGGAGTCTTCTAGTAGTAGAGAGGAGTCACCTACAATTTTCGAAATGGAGACACAGCTTGGATATATTGAACCATGCGTGAAGACAGTGCAAGACCCAGGAGTGCCTGAAGGTAACCTTGTTGAGGGCTCGCATCCTGAAGGGAATGAAAACAAAGAGTCTTCCACTGCAGGTGCATCAAATTCGACGGATACAGCTGCAACAAGTGGCTCTGAAGTGAATATTTGTGAAAGCAATGTTACGGAGACTACAGCAGAGGTAAACCACTCCAGTGATGGGGATGAAACTGACCCAGAGGATGTCTTTTTTGCCATGACCCAAAAGAGAGATGTGAGCTTACTTGATTCAAGTGATGCAGAGAGAACTAGTGAACTTAAAGAAACTGTGGAAAACGGGCAGCCAAAAGAAACACATCAAATAGTGGATAACAGCAGTAGTGTTAATAAGACAACAGAAGACTCTGTGGATAACACCAGACAGCAAAGCACCGAAAAAGCAATAGAGTTACCATGTTCGTCAGCAGACAGTGAGGATGATGTTTCAAGAGGAGCTAATCAGATTGTGGTTCCAGAAGAGAAAAAGATTCGGAGAGAAGGAGAGGAAAACAATGAAGAGAAGGCTTCTTTGGAGAAAGAGGTCCATCCAGAGGCGACCCATATCACTGATTCTGTTGAAAGAAGTGGTGAAGGCAGTACTACATTTAAAACGGTGATGAAAGAGCATAGTGAAGAAAATGAAAATAAGCATTTATTCAAGCAGCCCTTACCAGATAATAAAGAACAGAAAAAGACTGAAAAGACTGCACAAGTTATCCTTTCAGTTGATGAGGAGATGCCAGGAGAGAGAATAGAGACTGTGGATTTGAATTCGGAAGAAGACGATTCCTTTTTTAATGCAGCTACGCAAGTTCTTCAACCTGAAAGTCAAGTGTCGGAAGTGTTAAAAACTCCATTGATTGATGCAGCTACAAAACAAGAAACTAATTTGCCTCTTGAAGGGAATGAGCCTTGTAACACCAGAGAAACAAATGAGGAATCTAGAGACCAAGAGTGTGACAGTGAAATTATTTGTGATGCCCCAGTTCAAGCTATTCAGTTGGAAAACAGAGAAAATTCTTCTGGTGCTAAACTGGAAGTCAAAGAGCAAGTTCTAAGTGCACCTGAAGATAAATTGAGTACTTGTAATAAAGATGATGAAGGAGATTCAGATTCCACTACTGATGATGAGAGTTCCTTTTTTAATGCACCTACACAAATTGTTCATACTGAAAACGAACACACGGATTCTAGACCTTCACCAGGAGTTGAACTGGGAAAACCAACATGCAGTAGTGTTGCTCCAGATAAGTTGAAAACGAGTGGGAAAGATGAGCAAGAGAAAGAAGAAATAATGGAGGCAGATGACAAAGTAAAAAAAGCAGATGATTTTATTTTCACGGCCCCGACTCAAGTTCTTCAAGTTAAAAGGAAAGAAGGTAATATATCATCAGAAAAGGATATTGAGCCTCATGCTGAACAGAATAGTTCGACTGGATCTAGTATTGAAGGGTGTAGTGAGAATGATTCCATTTTTGATGCACCAACTCAATTAGTAATTCATTCAGAAAATTTGCAGGAGGACTCATTAAAATCATCAGGAATTGAGAAGCAACCTGAAAAGAAAGAAGCTGACCAGCAACAAAGAGCCGATGTCTCTGATTCAGAAACAGATAAAAATGATTCAATCTATGAAGCAGAAACTCAGGTGTTTCATTTAGGAAGTGAATCCCCAGTGACTTTTACGACATCAACACCTGCAAAGAAGAAAAGTGTAACGTTTGTAGATGACTGTGACAGAGACCAAAGTGTTGAGAGACAAGTGTCTTCAGAGGATCATCCCAAACCAGAAGGTACCACTTCAAGGAACGAGAATGAAACTGTTTTTGATGGCGCAACCAAAGTTGTGGAACCTGGAAGTGTAGGAAGTTCATCTTCAAAAGAACCAAGTGAAAAACCAAAACCATTAAATGATGTTCCAGCAGAAGAAAATGAAAAGCGTATGTCTGAATGTGGAAAAAATAACAACCAAGAGGGTAGTTCTTCTGAATCAAAGTTTCCGAATAGTCCTCAGATTCATCCATTGGATGACAGTGATGATTCCATTTTCTCTGCTCCAACCCAAATTATTTCTAGGCCAAGTCATTTGCATGATGCAACGTCTCCAAGAGCAAGCACATCAGGAAAGCTTCATTCTTCTAGCTTAGGTACTGAAGTGGTTCCAGAAGCAGACTTGCAAATTGCTAAGAACAATGAGGAAAAAACAAGTTCTGAAGAAAATGTTTGTGATGCTAGTAGAAAGGAAGAAGAAGAAGACGACACACATAATGACTCTTTCTTTGAAGCTGCCACTCAGCTGTACACGTCTTCTGCACTGTCTCAGGTGGACAATTCTGATGTGGCTGATGATAAAGCAAACCAATCTTTAAGTAGATCTTCAAGCTACAGCTCAATTCATGAAGCTCCTACCCAGTGCATGGACGATCTTGTGTTAGCGCTCGATTCTGATAATGTCAAAGAAAGCGTTGAGAAAAGTGGGCAGACAGAGGAAACTCAGAAGAAAACACAAGTTGCAGAAGGAACCTCAGCTGAAGAACCATTGCAAGTACATGAAGCTGCCACTGCTGGTGCTGTGACTTCCCTTGCAGATGAAAGTTTAGATTTGGTCCTTCCATCCTCTCAAGAGTTAAAGGAAGTAGGTCAAGAATTCTATGGGTGTGCTTCTGATGATGAGAAGCCATCTACGTCCAATGAGGTGTCGAGTCCTGTTATTCAGAAACGAACTCGCAGTATTCCATTTAAAAAGGGCATTCTAATGGCAAAAAGTTTGGATTCGATAAAATCAACTGTTGCATCTGGTTCTGGGGACAACAGTTCTGATAACAAAGCACAACCAGATATTGAATCTACGAAACTGGGTAAATTGCCAAAAGACAAAAATGGCCTAAAGAAAACTGCTGGTAAAAAGAAAGCTATGGCAGCAAAAGGGAAAGATAAAAGTAAAAAAATTACAGAGTATTTGGAGTCAAATAACTCTAGAGATAAGAGTGCTGAAAAGGAGGACAAGTATGAGGAAAACAAAGCAGCAAGTGATGAAAATGAGAAAGGGAGACCATCAAGACAACGCAAACCGACTTGGAAAGCAAGAGAAAGTACAGAGGAAGGGCTCCTTACCCCAATTCAGAAAACAAAAAAAGGTGACACTAAGGAGCAGTCTATTTCCAAAGTTTCACCTGGCTCAAGTAAACAAACTAAGAAGCTTGTTTCGTCTCTGCCTAAGGATGAGAACATTGCGAAGGAGGATCAAAATAGAAAAGAAACCTCAAAGCTACCCACTAAAATGAATACTGAATCTTGTGTGAATTCAGAATCTAAACCAGAAAATAATGTAGAACAAAAAAAGAGTGAAAATTTGGATATGGGTTCAGACAATCAGAGAAACATTCATGTACATTCACTGTCATCTCCGCAAAGTGAAGATGAAAAAACAACTGTGAAAAAAGGTGTGAAATCTAAGCGATCCTTGGAGGTAATTAAATCAAAAACAATAGGGCTTAATACTTCATCAAGCCCAGAAAGTTGTTCTTCTGACAGGAGGGCAGAAACATCAGCTGATTCTAGTTCTTCCAAAAGGCGGAGAACACTCTTGCCCATGTCTGATAGTGACCAAGATGTCAAAATTGCAGTTGATGAATCTAGAAAAGGGACTAATGTGCCATCTTTAAGTGTGGAACCAAAAGCAGAGGAAGGTACAACTCGCAGCAGAAGAAAACCTATTAATATTTCTGACAAGTCAAATGAAGCAAAGCACGAAGTTAGTCCTTTGGGTGGAAGTCTTCAAAAAGAAGAAGCCAATCAAAATAAAAGAGGTAGGCCTAAACGATCAACAACAGTTGTTGATATGCTTATGTCTGGGACTAAGTCCGTTTCTAAACCTGCACTTGGTAAGACCCATCATGATAGCAGTGCTGATGTTGACAGGCAGGAAAATGAAGGTGTGCCTTCATCCAGTATCGAAGACAAAAGTGTGAATGTTGGAAAAAGAGGTAGACCAAGGCATACGACTACACCGAACAGTGCATCCAGTTCAGACGCGGAGGTAAAGTCTGGGAAAAAAGTATTTCCTTCAGGAGACAAACAAACAGAAAGCAAAGTTCAGGGCAAAGATGACAAAAGTAGAAACATTCCTTTTAACAGGTCAAAACGATCTGCAACTAATAGCACATCAAGTTCTGAAGTTGAGATAATATCTGAAAAAACTAAAGAGTATTCTTTAGAGAAAGAAAAGGAAAATAGTGTATCCCCTAGTGATAAACTTGATGTCAAAAAAAGGGGAAGGCCGAAACGAAGTGTAGCATCTAGGGGATCAAGTGTTGAGATAGAGTTGAAGCCGATGATACACAACAAAAGAACGCAAAATTCTGACATATGTGATACTCCAACAAAAGAGAGGAAAATTAGTGTTGCTGTTTCAAGTAGTGAACAGGATGAAAAAGTAGATGCAGGCAAGAGAGGTAGAGCAAAAAGATCGGCAAAGAAAGCTTTTGGTTTAGACAAAGAAATTAATGCTTCAGATAGTACAGCCCCAGTTCAGAGGTTACAAGGGTCTGATATTTGTGATACTCCAAGAAAGCAGAGAAGAAATCATGTGCCTTCTTTGGAAAGCGATGATGTTGAATTGGTGGAGACAAACAGGAGAGGCCGCTCAAAAAGATCTGCCACACCAAGTGTTTCTTCAGAGAGAGAAACTTGTGCGTCTTCTTTGGAAAGCAGTGAAGTTGAAATTGTGGAGGAGCACAAAAGAGGCCGCTCAAAGAGAATAGTGAAAAAGGGTGTTCCCTCGGAAAAGGAAACTGGTGCATCTTCTTTGCAAAGTGATACTGTTGAAATTATAGAAACAAACAAAAGAAGCCATTCAAAAAAGTCTGCATCACCAAGAGTTCCTTTGAAGAGAGAGAGCGGTGCATCTTTGGGAAGTGGTGAAGTTGAAATTATAGGAACTAACGAGAGAGGCCGTTCAAAAAAAGCTGCTGTACCAAATGTGCCTTTGGATTCTAAGGAGGAACTGACACCCATTACCAAGGTAAAATCTGATAAAATTGCAAATCCTACGAGTCCACCCTTGGCTAAACAGAGAAGAACTATCGTTCGGTCTGGAAACAGGACTCCCAACAAAGCAAATGATGCTTCAGAACCAAAACTGTCTAGGGGTAGGAAGAAGGGTGTGAATGTGGTTGCATCGGATGAAGATCAGTCTATGTGCGGGTCACCTTCTTACGGGTCAACTGGAAGGAAAAGGAAAGTGCTGTCACAAGCAAGCAGCACTGAGGTTAGTACTGAGCTAAAATTAATAATGAAAGGTAACAAGACTATTATCCATTTAAGAAACAACCTGGCTGCCCTTAAAGTTATTAATTTGAAACAGTGCCCTAGACATGGTATGGATCCTGTTATTACTTAATTTTTCTGCATGTTTTATTAGGTTCTTTCTTCCTCTTTACTCCTGAATGCCTGGGATTCTATACTTAACTATTCCACCCACAAGTATGTTATTTTTTGGATTTGACAGCTGGTCGCTACTATGTTAAGTTGATATTTTGTTTTTTTACTGCTTTCTATACTTTATTAACCTACTTAATTTTATCTGAAATTTATAAACATACCAATTTTTGAATAACATTTATTTACATTTTTAGGGTTTATAATACCAAAATGAAAGTATGTGCTTCATATTGTATGTATGATGTCTGTAAGAGAATTTACCTACACAATCAGCTGAAGTGTTCTCTTGCATACTAAAATAATATTTTCTGTACTAGTATCCATGTCTAAAAGGCAGCTCTACTCATTAGGCATTTGTCAAGTAATGAACTATTTGCTCGTCGAATTCCGAGCACCTGATGTGCTAGACAAATGTTCACTTTCTTTGATGTGTCTAAAAGATCGACACATGGTGGATAAGGCAAGCACCCAATATTCATCGCTCTGCAAACAGCAAGCAACCCATCCATACTACATAGGATTTGGCGAGCAGTAGCTCACTACTTACCACACACTGAATGTGTGGAGCTGCCTTGAAGTTGTTTTCACTATCTGCTGGCTGTTTGTACTTATGGGAACTGCAGTCATTAATTTCATTAGGCACATAGAAAAGCGATTATCTTGTTTATAGAACTCAAAATGTCAAATTTATATCTCTTTTATCTGCAGACATAAGGTGACTCAAGTATTCCGTAGAGTTTTCACTTAAAGCCACTACTGTTTCTTGTTTTTATTAATTGAATTAAGTTATTTCTATGTAATTATGAGTTCCTACTATCTGATTATGATTTGAAATTTAAAAAATTAATCCAATCAATCAACTAATTAGACTAACTGATCTCCAATTTCTTGGGATGTTTTCTAATGACTGTAGCAAACAGTTCCTTTGGAGTAGTGCAGCACCAGTCCTGGTCTGTCTTTTGTATTCCTGTGGTAGATGAAAATCAACAACCACATAATAGGCCCTTAAGTTTGTTGAACAGTTAGTAGCCTGAAGGAGCCAAGCCCTGTAAATATGTATTGAATTGAATTGAATTTGCGTTATTTTACATGGCGAGACTCAGGCCATCAGGCCCGCTCTTCCGTCTGACCACGCAAATTTCGCTAACGCTCCTTTCACCAACTAGGAGAGAAAGGAGGTATTTCTTGGGCGAGAAACAGGCGATTTGAATTTAGCTCAGAGGCGTCATTTAAGCTTGAACATCTTTTTACATGCAAGTAAATCTACGAACATGGGACAGACGGCTTTTACTCCCCCCAAAAGGAGGCGTACGAAGGATTTTTTCGCCCTTAAAAATCCACGGCTTAGATCGGGTTTGAACCGCCAACTTGGGTACAACAGTCAGTACGCTAACGTTACACCATCGCCGCGCCCAATATGTAGGGTAAGGAAAGATTCATAAATCCCATTATTGCCAATGTATTTTTTGTCTCGCAGTCTTGCATTGTCGTGTTGAAGAAGCACTTCCAAAGCGTGTCTTTTAGCTGCCTTTATTGAATTCTGTGTTGCAGTTTTCCGAGGGTATCGCAGAAGATATAATTGTTTACAGTCTATTTAGGGGAAAGCCAGTCCATCAGCAAAATTCCATTTTTATCCCAGAAAACTATTGCCATTTTCTTTTTAGTAGTAAGCCTCGGACAAGACTTCTTGGTGCGTGAACTGACAGCAAGCGTTCATTCCATTGACTGTCTACCTCAGCAAACTCTTAAACAAGAAAGAAAATTTGGTGACTCAGGCCATAAACTGATGACACTGCAGTGCCTCTGACCGAGAGGTTCTAGGTTCAAGTTGGACAATAGCAAGATCTTCAACACTAGCTCGTTAACTTGGTCGAATTCAGCCACTCACCAGAGGAGAATTCTAACGGCTGGCTGCTCTGATAGGTAGTTTTCTGCGGTTTCTCCTTTCAACACCAGGCGAATGCTGGAACAGTACCCTAACAAATGAGCCATTGACCACATGCAATGTTTCTTTTCTCTTCTTTGCTCTATCTTCTCCCATTACTTACACTTACATGCATTATAATACTACACAAGCCGGGAGACCAGTTAGGATTTTAGAGCTTGTCCCTGATGGGGTGGAGTCCTGCTCGTGGGAGATATCTGGTTGTGGAAAATCGCGTTAGTCAATAGGTAAATTGGTGCCGGATCTCATCATTCAGCGGGAGTCGATCACTGCTCCCCGTCTGAGGGGAAAATGCCTCTTTTTAGCCCCTCTTGAAGGTTTCGCAGACTAAATTTCGCGTTGTTCATAGTCTTTCATCAAACGCCATTTAAGAACATTCCCTTCTGTCGCCAGATTTTCTATCCATTCCACACTTGTAAATAGCCTCTGTCTGTTCAAAACGCAGATTCGTATTTGCTGGGCATTAAACCAAGATTCCGAGGCTTCGTCAAACCCGGATCTCTCGTGGAGCAATGACGACCAAAATCCCGAAACAAACTCTTGGCATTCATTGCATGTTATGTTTTAATTTGATACATTGCCATTTGGTTAAAGATTCTGTTTACCGGCCCATTCAAAAATATTGGTCTGACTTGCCCGATAAATTCACGGTGGATGCCGAGAATACGAACGCGAATATAATTATGTATTGTTACACGCAATATTTTTACTAACCTCACAGTTTGTTACGTCAACGTGTATGAGTTTCGTGACATGGAATGGCAATGTAAAAATTTAAAGCCTAACCGACAGGGCTTAATCTGGGAATATAAGACGACCCCACATTTTTCATGTGAAATATTTTGGAAAAAACCTCGTCTTACATTCAGGTAAATATGGAAATCTTCAATAATGTAGTTGTAAGAGGCCATTGAAAATATTTTAACTTTTGTGAGTTTTGTAACTTCAATGATTTATTGAAATACAGATCTGCTCAGATTTTAAAAGCCTACTTTCCTCTATTTGAGGGAGAAAATGTAAAGTATTTTGAGCCATTTTTGAGACAATTTTGAAAATGTTTTTGGGGGTTCAAATGTACTTTCGCAAAATTAAAACTTCAAATCCGAGTGACTCAGAATGGTTAGGGAATATTCATTTTGTTCTTCCTTTGTATGATTTAGGTGCATGTTTGAATGTATGTTTTGAGAAAAAAGCTTTTTTGGTATGAAGGACTTTTAAAATGTGGATTTTTACTACACTTTTTTACAAGAAAGTAATATACTTTATGTAAAGAAAAAGAAAGAAAACAAACAAACAAAAACAACTTATATTTGGTAACAGGGACCTACAATTTTTTTTCTGTCAAAATATTGGGATTCTTTGTGCAACATTGTAGATCTTTCTCTAGAAAACTTATAGGGGAATATGGAATTGTGTTACACTCTAGTCATGTTCGTCCTGGAGTTGTTTTGCCAATATTAACTCAGTCTTAGAAGAAAACTGTTTTTTTAAAAATTTTTATTCATTGCCCATAAAAATATGCTGCCTTTGAGACCTGACTTTCAAGGTATTCTCCTGGATAGAGTAGAGCACCTGTGACAATTACTTTGTCTTAACCTTTCAGTGCTGAAGGCCATCTTCAGATGGTTCATTTATTTCACCTCTATTCGCAGGGAAGCATACTTAGACATCAGAGATGTTCCTCTAAACAGGGGAATTTCGTGTGGAGATCGGAGGCCATTGTAGCTGTGCACGGACCTGGCTACCTGCTACGACGCTGATACACATTTTCCGTTTCAATTCACCTTTTTTGGAATGCTACTGCCCCCACCTAAACTGGCATTGAAGGATTATATTAAAATATTTAACTCAATTTTTTCCCCTCTTCTTTTTTCCAGAGTGACGGTCATTCCAGTCAGGGTGAGGGCACACCCAAACGGTCATCCCGAATCAAGCATCATGCTGAATATCACATAATGTTTACTGGTGTCGGTTGCTCTGGAGCTGATGAAGCAGCCATAAAAAAATTAGGTAGGTACAGCACTCGCTAATCTACCACATAGTTGTCTGCAACAATAATGATAACTCACAATGCCAACTTTTTATATTGTATTTTGTTGCAGGAGGAAAAGTAGTTCAGGAGCCAGAGGAATGTACAATTTTAATAACGGATAAAATCCGACGAACATTCAAATTTTTATGCATCATGGGGCATGGGAAACCAATTGTTACTCCAGATTGGATAAAGCAGTCACATTTGTCAGGCAGCTTTTTGGGTATGTTAACGACTACATTAAATGACAGAATTATGCATTACTGATTTCTTTTACTCTTTTTGACACTTGACTAATGAGATTATGTTGATTGCAACATAACTCCAATGCCAAATGTTGAACAAGCTGGAATAAGTATTTTTTTGTTACTCAAACCAAAACTCTCCAATGCTTACACCACAACTCCATGTATGTTTGTATGGTGTTGCAGATCCTTGGAATTTTATTGTGAAAGATAAGGAAGCAGAAAAAAAGTTCAAGTTTCAATTGCAGAAGTCTCTGAAAGAAGCTTCTGCCAAAAAGCTCTTAGATGGCTATTCTGTTTTTGCAACACCATCTGTGAAACCTCCCCCTACAGAAATGAAAGGTATGTTGCTATGTTGTTGGTTAATTTGAATTATAAATTGCATTCTTAACAGGATGTTGAACAAAAATGTGCTCTAAATATTTCTCTAATGTGTCGCAAATGTTGCTTTAATATGTTTTGGATGATGGAATTATGGGAAAATTGTACATTTTATCCACTGTGTAAGCATTTTAGTGAGCCACAATTTTCATTTAAATTTGACTATTCTGCTTGTAAAGTGTGCCAGACAGATGTTGATGTAGTTCATTGGAGACCATTCATTATTAGAAAACTTATGTGAACACTTTTACGTTTTGTTACAAGACTGTTCATTGTTGTTACTAATAGGTCATGGATTTTTAAAACACTTCTGTTTCATAATAACTCTTATTACGAAACCAATCTTGGCCTCCTGAAGTTCAACTTTGGTAACCAAAGTGCACAAAAGTCATTTTATAGATACTGCAGGATTTTTCATGAATTAAGATTTATACTGAACAGGTGCATTAATTTTAAATGTTCAGTGCGGTATGTTGCTTTCCAAAAATAAACCTGGCACTCTTCAAATTGTCACAATTAGTCCCAATCCTAAAGTTTGCAGGGAACAAATATTACAATTGAAAATAATAAAAGCCTTGCTGCAAAGTGTCTATATGACATCAGGAATGTAAAAGTACTGGAAAGATAACATTGATGGAAACTTGGGAAAATGTTTTAAATATTAAACAATATTGTATATATTTAGTACATAAGCAATTGTCATTACATTTTTTTTTAATAGCTTAAATTAACAGGATTCACTTTTTGGGTTTTCAGTTTTCAGAGTTGATCTATTATTATATATTTGAGTGAAAGCAAATTGTGGTAACATACCTTTTGTATGGCTGGGTCATCAGCCACTGGGAAGCAGTGAATACCTTTCATACAATGTAACAATGTAAGCTGTGAATTTTCTATGGGAGATCTTAAAATGTTCTTATATTTTATCCTTTTTTATTATAAACAATCAATAACACACATCATTTTATACACATTTATTGACGCTTTTCATAACATTTTGCTTACTGTAAAACAGAGTGCCTTGAAACGCTGGGGTGTCTTGGGACAAATCTTCTTGTGCTTTTTGCCATGGAAAACTGATACGCATGCACAGGACATTGGATAACAAGCGGGAATTTTTCAATGTTATTGTTGACAGTTTGTGGGAAGGTTTAAACATACTTTGCAGTCATTATGGTTGCAAGAAGCGGTAGAAAAAAGTCCTGATTTCTGCACGAAATTTTTGCTAATTGTAAGTACTCATATACTTCTTTTTCAAATAATAAACTTATTGGGTAAAAACTAGATTTCAATACACGATGTGAAACTGTGAATTCATGGACAGTTCATGGAATTTCTAATGTTAATTCCCCTCACCAGCTGTACTTACAGGTTAAATTTTAGTTTATGTCATCTTTGGGTACCTTGAGACATGGGCAGAGTGTGCAAGAGAAAGCCCAGATGGGGTCCAGACCTTATCGAAATTGTGACGTTGAGAGCCTACAAAAGCAGTAAACTATAAACCTTCCCAAACCTCCTTCATTATCTCTGCAAGACATGGCTGAAAAGTTTGGAGTATCCAAAGATTCCCTGTATCGACAACTACAAGGGAGATATACAAACTCGCCAGGGGGATAACCAATATTATCTTCTAATGAAGAAAAGTACCTTGCGGAAGGTATTATAGCTGCAGATACATGGGGTTTCTGTTCAGGTGGGAGAAAAATGAAAAGAAATTCTGTATTAACTGCCCAGGGGTGGAATGGGCCATGTCTTTTCTCAGTAGACACACAAACGTCTTGACTCATTAGTTAAATGAGAGTGCATTAGTGCGCTACAAAGACAATCTATCAATATTTTGACAACTTAGAGGAAAGTATTGAAGCTATTCTCCCTCATGTATTGTGAGATATGATGAAACTTTCATAGACAATGCATGAAAGCAGAAGGTAGGTGTCAAACTGGGGTGTAAAACATTCTGAATTCAACCAAAACTGCAATATCGGTAATGTTTGCTGCAAGTGCTGATAGAACTTCAGTTTCTCAATATGTTTGTTACAAGGCTGAATGTTTGTGAGAAACATGGTGTAGAAATGGCCCTTCAGGGGCACGATATATCAAGACAAGATTGGGTTGGTTCGATCCGCACGTCTTCGAAGACTTGTTTTTGTCCATATATCTACCATATTTTCACAGTTAACATTCTGTTGAGATAAAAGTTTTAATTGAGGACAGCCTTTCAAGCCACATTTCAGAAAAGGTCATTCAAATTCTTCTCAAAGAAGTCAAACTTTGCCCTTTTGGTTCCAAACGGCAGCCACTATGTCAGCCACCAAGAAGTGGCATTTTTTGGCCCTCTTAAGAAAATCAATTGTGATGTACTACGGAGTTGGAAGAAGTGAAGCAAATGGTATTTACGGAAGGAATTAATTCCTTCTCTTATAATCAGCACCTTACAAAAAATTGGAGCAAATTCTGCAAAGAATTTGCCAAGAGGTTTCAGAGCGGCTGGCATTTTACCTGTGCAATAGAAATCGGGTCCTGAAGAAAATACCGAACATGGTCTAAAACAGTTTTTCATCTTTGTGGACAGATTCTTTAATTGAACTTCTCAAGGAATCCAGTTTTGCCATGAAAATGTTTGAACGTCCTCGCTGGAAAAAGCACTGGCACAAGTACTGATCAAGAGAGTCATGATAGATGTGATCCAGGAGTCATGGAAGCAATAGAGCAGCCAGGTTATGAAGGCCTCGCAAATGGGGAAGACCCAATTGCTATTTCACCAGATGAAGGTTGTGGAGACTTTGTTTTGGTGAACTTTACCACTGAGAAAAGCCATGATGACAGGTTCAAGGAAGAAAATACTCTTTCTGCCGGGTTTTTAAGAGAGTTGGAAGAGAAGAGATGCATATATTTACCCTTAGTCAGAAGACATTTCATCTTTCCACGTTCAGGATGTTCTTGAATTGGAGCCACTAACAGCGTTGAGAAGGGGCCGTGAGATTAGACCTCTTTACCCTAAATATGTGGTTCTTTTTTTATTTTCACATTCTTTTAAACACCATCTTAAAATTATTTATACTTTTATTACTTGGATAACATGAAATCACGTGAATATATTTGTAAAAACAATTTTGCTTTTTTCATTTTACTCCAGAAGCGATGTTACATACGATAGATATCCGATTACAGTGTTGTCTCAAGTCGTCCCAACCACTGGGGTGCCATGAGACAACAGTAATATGGTGATAAAACCTTCCAGAATCATGATTTTCCTGAGATTTATCTCGTTTAATTGCTGAGGTAGAAATTTCACTACCCAACCATAATTCATGTGACAAATATAGAAACAGAAAATTCTACCCCCCAAAAAAAAGTCTCAAATCTGTCTTTAGTCACCCCGTTTTATGGTTTTAGATTTACTGATTCATCACGTGTCATTTAAATCTTTAAAAGGTAAAATTACCAATGGCGGCTCATGCAGGTTTCTTACGAGAAAGCCATGGCCAAATTCTACCGGTATCGTATGACACCAGCCTGCTACTGTGGCCATATTTGACCCTCTGGTCTGTCCCTTGTCTACATGGCTCACCAACCATGGAGCATTCTTCTGGTTCAAAAAGAATCCAATGGATGTCAATTTAAGGGAGAAGATTCTCCCCTTTTGCCATATAGCTGCATTAAAAAACCTGTTCTCTTCTCACTACAGGAGTACTGAGAGAGATAAACAATTAACACACAAGGAGAGGAAAGGCAGAGTATTCCCCTTCAGTGCTATTCAGAGTGACTTCCATTGTTGCGCTTGTTTTCAGGAAGGTTCAAGGCATGCGTAAGTTAGAAACTCGATCGAAATAAATTTCCTCTTACGGAAAAAAAAAAATTGGACAACGAAAATAAGTGTGGAGGATGATGACGAAGTGCGGCCTTCCAATTGGCCGGCTATTTCAGCCATTCGTACTCGACCCCACCCATATATAAACCTGAGCGCTGACCACTCTGGCACAGACCAGCCCTGAGAAGAAAATGACAAGATGGTTGAAATATTGGCAACACGGCCTTCTACAAGGCGTCACCCAGAGAGCCAAGATCATTCATTTGACTCCGGCCGCGGAAGCCTACGACTTCAAGTGAGAAGGATGTTCTTCCCTTCTCTCCCCTGAGAAACTGCCACTGTAAAAAAACAAAAGATTGAAGCGCTAGATACAAAGCAAGGAGAATCATTGCTGCTGTGACTAGGCAAACCAACAGCCTTCTGTATCTCTTATGAAAATCCTTTCTCAAGTTCTAGCCACCAAGAAAATATCCATTGTGTATATTAGACCCATTTTTGAATATGTTCACATTATACGAGATATTTCAAGAAAGATGTTGATCAGATTGAAAAAATTCAATAAAAGGTCACATGGGTACCACTGAACTTTCACATAACTTGTGAAGTGAAAAAAATATGGCTTTTCACACTTCAACAAGGAAGCAATAGAAATGATAATGTTGAAACATTTAGGAACCTGAATGGCATATACATTATCCAAAACTTGAGAAAGATTAAATATGGTAAATTAAAGGTGTTGGCTGGTATCAAAAATTTATTTTGTTAATGATTGTTTCGATAGTGTAGCTATCATCCTCAGAGCTAAAATTAGAATTACCGAAATAAAATTACATTAATACATGAATTACATAAAATTAGGTATAAGTTATTACAAAATATTATATACATAAAAATAGACATTGAATGCCAGACAAAATAGACACTGTAAGCATAAGCAAACTGGATCGTACATACCTTGCAGCTTCCGGGTCAAAAACAGAGAAAGATCTTAGTCAGGGCCATGGACAGCAGACTTTGGAGACATCATCTGAAGGAGAAAGTGTAGGCAGAAACTTGGTCTTTCCTCATCAAACAGGGTTGTCAACAGTTGGAACAGTCTTCCACATGATTGTGTTTCGGCTAGGACAGTTGATGCATTCAAAGAGAGGTTGTACTGTATGAACTCATGATGAAGAGGAAATTGTTGTTCAAGTAGATAAATAATTGTGAGAGGGTTGGTATTAAATTTGACTGTAGGTGTGTATAATACAATTTACTTGCAGGTTTTAATTGTAACTTGGTACAAGTTTGCCAGCTTCATCTGCTGTCATTAATTATTTAACCTAATCCTGCAGTTTAAGATGAAGAACCATCTATTTGGGGTAATTGCGTACTTATATCTTGTACATTCATGCGTGGACAAAAATATGTCTAGAGGAAAGAAAGCCATATCGAGATGGCCTTTATCCCCATTCAGAACCACAACCATATGTCGGGCAACTTCTGGCGGAAAAAGATGCTTAGTTGTGTGATTGCTATTGCTGATATGAGAAATTGTTTAACCACTGCAAGATAAAAAAATATTCAAATTTCAGGATTATTGCAAAGCCACTTGCTGTTGCAAAATCCTTAGGAATAAAACAGTTAATGGGTTAATCATTGGGTTGGTTGGATTATTTCAAGAAAACACCCAACATACTAGAAAAATCAGACAATGCCAACAAAATGTAGTAAGAGAATGAAATGTGAAATTACAAACAGATTTCTTTTTACAAAGCAGCAATATTTATAATGCGTTTTGAAAAGAACTCTTTGTCTATGTTCATTCTTTACAGTGGCTCATTCTTAATGGAGAAAAGTGTGCCTCTGGTAAGTTTCCTTAACCTGTTAATGCCCAAATTAATTTTATGCACATAGGGCTTGCCCATTGCTGTCAGGTCTGTAACCACACAGTCATTATTGAGACTCTGGTTGCATGTTCTTGCAACTTAGCAATCCATTGTTTTGTTGCTAAATTATACTATTAGAGTGCTCCGAAGTGCCAAAAGGGTTATATGAGCATTTTTTCTATAAAAAGTAGCTAATCTGTTAAACCTTAGCTGTATATACCCTATCACCTTCGGTATGGACCAAACTGTTTGCTTTACACTAGCCTCTCCCTCTGACTTATCTACAGATGAAAATGAAGATTCAAACCAATGCATGAATATTTTGTGGCTAGAAGTGTATAGTGCTTTAACTATCTTGGCTAAATTGACATGTGGCATTCAGGAACGCCAAAACTTGCTTGTATGCTTCATTTAGGATGGCTATGTCTTTTGAAGAAATAAAATTCACAGATTATTTTAAAAGAAGCAAATTCGAGTTTATAAGATATGTGCATCCCCAAATGAGGACTGGGCATTAATGGGTTAATTATAGGAATATCAAGAAAGTGATCTCAAGAAACTTAGTGATTGTACAGTCAAAATCCATGATGCTTTAAAACGTAAACAAAAGTAAACTGCAAGTGATATGAAGAAGCAGTAAGGTGTAAATGACCAGGATGCTAAAGGAAAAAAGGTTGCATTTCTTAGTCCCATAATGATGAGCAAATCATAATTATATATTATTTGGATATAATGAGACTTGCCAACCAAAAAACAGCCATTCAAACGTGTAAGGAGCATTTTTTCTTCCAAACGCAACATGCATTGTACAGAATATTCTTGATATCTATTAAGAGTTTGTTAAATTTGCATTTGTTAGATTGTTGTCTAAAGTGAAAAAAATTGTGTAAGCTATTGTGCTTACTACTGTGCAAAACCATAGCTGTAATAAGCAATATTTGAACATTGTGGACTACATGTTTCAACATGTGCTTTCATAACACAAATTGTTATTGTTTCTTGTTCTGTATTGGCAAGCACAATGAACCAATAATTCTTGCCTCCATATAACATTTATACAATTCAAGTTTACATTTTTAAAATGACAGTTTTATATCCATTATCCAATTATTCCTATCAGCAGACCTTTTCTTTCCTAGATCAGCAACCTATTGGTGCCTATGAAAACTACTTAATAAAATGATTAGCTACAGAAGATCATCTCTGAAGTTCTAGGTACTAAAAATGAATGTTGTTCATTATTTACATTTCTTATTAATGTGTGAAAAATAACTTTGTTGATATTTAAAGAAACACTGTAGATGTCTTTGAACAATCTTTCTTCACGATAAGGACACATCAATAACATGTTTAAAATACTCTCTTCACTTGCAGTGAACACTCATTTCTCTCTATTATTCCACTGCGTTCCTAAGGAGATAATCTCAACTCAATGTAGCAAAAACTTACTTTACTGATATGATCCAGCTTAAAATACCTGGAGAGACATGAAGAGCAATTTATTGCTCTATATTATTTAGAAAGCAAAAAATTATATTTTTTTCACCTTATTGATTATGTTTGATTATGTTAAATTTTTTATTAATGTTGTAGAGCATTAAAGGTCAAAGTAGTGTTTTCTTTATTCAGCAGGATGTAAACCTTTTGATATGTTTTTGTGTTGAAAAGGAGTAAATGATGCCCAAAAAATGTTTGCCCATTTTTTTGCAATATTTTCTTTTAATATTTTTCAAGTAGTACATTCAATCCTAAACATTGAAGTTATGTTTTGCATTTCAGGCATTGTGGAAAATTGTGGTGGACAATTCCTTACAAAAGATCCTAGTCCAGGTAAATGGCCTGAAAAGAGTTTCATAATTTCTGCTGTTGATGACAAAAAGCTGTGCAACAAATTCAAGAAATCATCTGTTCCCATTGTCAGTGTGGAAATTCTCTTAACAGGCATCCTACAACAAAAACTGAACATCAGTGATTATATTTTAAAATTGTAGTTGCAGTATTCTGTTTAAGTGTGTGTATGCGTGTGTATGTATATGTATGTATGTATGTGTATGTATGTATGTGGGTGCGAGTTTTAAGCCAAAATTTATCCTCAATATTGAGATACAAAGTTTCAGTAATCATCAATGTTCTTAGAACATATTTACTCAGATAAATCATAGAACATACGGATTTGCTCAATTCTGTTCTTTTTTTAAAAATTTTATTTTTATTTTATGTCTTTTATATAATTTGTTGTGATTATGCTTATGACCTCATTGAATGTTAGCTTTCTTTAAAAAGTAGATCTTTATAGAACATAGAATAAGAGAGATGTGGAAATATTTTCTATGATGTAGTATGCAAGATGTGTACATACAATATATGTAAAATAAATTATGAATTTTTAGTGATTTTTGTACATACAGGATATATACAATTGAGTCATTATAGCAAGATTTGAAGTGAAATTATACAAGAAAAGTCTGACATGTTTTATGTGTAGTAAGAAAGAGTAGTGAGATATCTCTACCAATTGTGTGTAGTGTATGTTTGAAAAGCATTTTTGTTATTTACTGCAACTGTGACATAACTCAAAATTTTTTAGTAGTTGCACTTCTGTTTTATACATAAACTAGAAATTTTGAACCCATCTGAAAAACAAGCCCTTTGTTTTTGTTATTTCTCTATTGCAGTAAATTAGTGATATGATTCCCAAGGTTTCTTCCCTTTCAAACTTGAATGCAAGGCAACCTTTTGTGAAGTCGATGCACTAATTTTGACTTATTTATATGCCAGGAGCACTATGAAGTTGTGTCCTCTTCAAAGATAACAGGGTGTTTATAACTGAAGGAAAAAGAGCTTACTTAAAGGATAAAATATATTTGCAGTGAGAATTTTATTTACATAATCAGTGTAGCAATTAAATAGTAAACAAACTGAAAATTATTGATGGACAACTGCTTTTATGTTCCAGTAAAAGAATTATTGATGAAAGAAAGTGAAGAAAAAGTCACTGGGTAGTTTTTCTTTTGTTTTCATCTTCATTTATCACCTGTATATTTTGAAATACAAACCAATTCTTGTGAGGATCCTTGTTCTTATTAATCATTGTGATTAATGTTCCCAACAACTTTTTAATTTCTGTAGCAATGCTAAAAGTATAACATAACAGGAAGAAGAGGAGTTTCTGTTGTCATCTGCGATTTTGTCTCCTTTGCTCAATCTTGAAACTAATCATCTCATGCTTCAGAAACTGCAAAATGTCAAAAACATGGTTCTCAAAGGCTATGAAAGATTAATGAAGAAACTTTCATAAGAAGTTTATAACTAGATTAATGTTGAAATATTAACAAATGTAAAACTGTATTTACTCGCTAACAATTTGGAATATGTATTACAATTTTCTGGAAAAATTTATTTAAAATGTTTGCATATGGTAAATGATGGTAATACCTTGATAAGGACACAGCTTTAGAATTGCTTCGATAAAATAATTAATAGATTGAAGTATATTGTAAATAAAAATAATGTTTTCCATTAAAAAAACAAAATAAAGATGAAATGGACACTTTGTGATTTACGTGTTTTTAAGAATTCCTTGGCCTATATACTTTGTATGGGTGATCTCTTAGTATTTATAACTTGTCAAGCAGAATGAAGTTCAGAATGCATTTCTAACCAGTAGGATTCTGTTCTTGTGAGTTTTCTCTCATAACATTATAAAAACTTTTTCTTAAATGAGCCAGAAAGGTGCAAAAAAAATAAAAAAATTGAAGCGTTTTGAAAGGAAATTATGTAATACTTATTTAGAACGGAAAACCCAGCAAAATAGTGTGTGATACTTGGTAATTATTGCGTTTAGTCTCCAAAATAATATTTTTGGAGATGGAATTCACTCTTCAAATCTTCTTACAGTTGTTAAACCATTTCAAATCCTGTTGCTCTCAATGATGATTATTTATGTTTTGCTGATTCTCAATTTGAAGATATCTGAATTTTTCAGTGAAAATATTTGGCTGGAAGCAGCAGCATCTATTTCTTCTTCTTTTTTTAACCCTAAGGATATATTAAAACTCAGCTAATGCTCTATTCTGTTTTATTTGTAACTTAACAAGAGTCCAGAATGCCAGAATGTAGAGACTGCACGCATTGTAAAAAAATATTTCTAGACCAACATAAAATACATTAATATCCTTAAAATAGATCTGAAATGAAATTTCTGATTGTGGAGATGGCATAAAATGAAAATCAGAATACGAGATGTGTAATTGGGATCTTTTATCTAACTACCTCAGTGTTCTGGGAGATGTGCTGTAGGCAACAATAGTTTTTTGTGTGTTTGGTGTACCCTTCCAGGAAAGATGGAGTCTACAATAAATTAACATTAAAGCAAAAAATGTATTAACATTTTTAAAAAAATGAGAAACGTGTAAAATAAGTGATAAAATGCTTCAGTATCTGTTTGTTAGTGTATCATTAAAAAGTGAAGAAAAATTGCAATTGTTTTTTCAAATTTTTTGAAATTTTCAGAAAGTTAATGCTAGTTAATTTGGTGTGTAGAGAACATGTGATTGTTATTAATATGTCTATGTGGATTGTGGAAAGTTAAGCAGACTTGGTGATGTATTAATGAAGTTCACATAATGAACTGAATTTAAAGAAGCTTATTTTTGATAACCGAGAATTATCAGTGAGCTAATCAAACATTGGGAGAAATAATTTAGAAAGGAGAAATTGAAATAGGTAATGGAAATTATGGGGACTGATTAATTTTTAGAAAATTATTGCACAATGAATTTTAAATGTTATATAAATGAATATAGTTCTAGGAATAATTTTTATATATTCAGTATATAATATGCTACAGTAATTTTTTTTTTATGTAACTTATTACCTCCATAGTATGAAATGATTGACTTGTTCAAAATTAATGATGCTTTGCACTATACTTAAACATCCAGCATAGTTTTGTAATGAATGCTTCTTTTGATCATATTTTAATTTAGGTTGGTGTCACCATTAGTCATATTAAAATAATATAATATATCTGAAAGTATTAATGATCTTTCTGCCTTCATGCATTCTCCTTATGAAGAGTAATTATACTTTTCTCTTCAGTTGTTCAGAGATGAGCTTATTCTAGTAGTTTAATTCGGTTTTGGGGAAATTACCCTAGGATATTTTGTTGAACATAGTGAGCAGATTTTAAAAGGGAAAATTAAACTAGAAAGCAGCATAAAAAAAATTGCACATTAAAATGAAATATCAAAGAAGGGGGAAAAAAGGCAAATGTACTAGTGATGAGACATCGATATCAGAACATCAATGTAACCCATCATAATTGTTCAAAATTAAAACATCAATGTTAATATTACTTTGATCAAAAAATATAAATGTTTTTAAACATCAATATTTTAAAGCTTGTTTAATAACTTCAACATAAAATTTGTGTGCAACAAATTTTACTGTGTTAGTGGTCATGTTCATTAATTTATAATAAAGATTTAATTCAAAACAAAAAAAAAACAAAAAAAATATTGTAACAGTAGACAAAGTAGAGCTCAAAGCCTGAACATCTAAGGTCTACTCAAAAGGGATAGTCCTCAGTTCACCAAAGAAGGGAGGTCCTACTCCCACGGCAGATGCATTGGCTGACTCTCCATGTGCGAAATACCTGGAAAGATGTAGGAAATTTATTTATTTACGTCAAAAAGATTTAAAAACTGTGTGACGTGCTATGGGGAGAAGTTCAATTGAAGTTACATTCATGTCCAGAAGCAAAACTAGGGGCCATCTCAGTATTTACTCTAGGATCAGGGAAACTGCGAAAATCTTATCGAGATGGGATCATTGACTTAGGAGTAACAAGTACAAAACTTACAGGTTCTTTAGAATTATACAATCCAAATGGTAAATAATACACTAAATGTTGTTAAAATTAATATTACTTTCCTTTTGGATGCTCTGTATAGTCTCTAATGGTACATAAACAGTTGTGCAGCAGAAAAGATATTACTAGGGACTTAAACTTATGTATCGAATTTAATCGTTTAATGTTTAAATAATATTAGGGCATCAGGGTCATTTCTTGTGGAAGAGATGAGTTTACTCAAAGAAGGTAGTACAAACAGTGTTTGTTTAGTTTGGTTCCATGACATTGGTACCATCAGTTATTATTTCATATTTTAACTTTTACGTGTTTCTATAAAAACATTGATGTTTTGAAAGCATCGACGTCAGTATCACATCCCTAATGTGCACTGATTTCATAAGAAAAGAATTGTACTTAATGGCATTCAATCTCCCTAGAAGCTCCTGTCAGATTCTGCCTCTTTCATTGTAATGGAACCATGTACCAAGTAAATGATTGTGAAATGTCTGCACAAATCACGAATATTTAGTTGCATCAGATCGCTAAATATGCATTCATCAAATTTAAGTGCCGGGTTTTCAGACAAGTATTGGGCTAAGCAAGTATGCTGCAGAAATCAACTCACTGTGTATGAAATTATCCTTCACTTCCTGATAAGTGATGATCTTTGGAAAAATATTAAGTTGTACTATGTATTCAGGTAGTCACGAAATTGTGAAAATTTTGATTCTTAATAATGCGTAATCTTTGCAATAAAGGGATGCTAGAGCTAAACCACATAGGAAAAAACATTCCACTGCACTGAAATGTGATTGACTACTGTTTCTCTTCCATTACAATTGGCTGAGGTCAACCAGGCAGCCTTCGCTTTTCTATTGTCATTCAACATGATATCACCTAATGTTCGGTATCTGTGATGCTTTTCAAGCACCAATGTGAGATACATATGGTTGGGGACTTATTCCAATTACCTCTTAATGTGTATATTTCTGATGCTTACTACATTTGGGACCTCCAAATTACTTGCATTTAGTCAAAGTGATTCATCCCCTCCCCCCTGTGAAGTAGAGTGCCAGTTATGCGGCATCAGTTGTCTATTCCAAAGCGAATAAGTAACATCCTGAGAATTGTTAGTATGTGCTTTCGAGATGCATAGAGTCAAGCACTACCTCAAATGATTTTTTCTTCATGATACACTTCCGGAAAGTCCTTCACATTGGTGAAATGCTTTCAGATGAAGAGAACACAAATATACGTTCCTTGAGTGCTTTTAATGGGTATTGCAGACAGTGGTTCTTTAACTCGGTAATGAAGTCAGGCAACTGACCTAGTCTGTCTCGGTGATTTGCACTTCCATTCCATGTGAAACACACTAGCTGGCCTTATGGTTGCCTCTAAGTAGAACTGCTACATAAAAGGATTGTACATAAGCCGTTCTAAATATGTAAAATTCCATTTTGCCTGTTGCTTACAAATTAATTTAATTTGTACGTATTCAGAGGTACATTCATGTATATGTCACTCCAAATTGGTCATAAAATCAAAAGTTTTTGTACAACTTCTCATTTTTATGCATCAGGCCATATGACAATGTTTAGCAGTATTTGCCATAACTCAACCTTTTGTAATATTGTATTAAAAATGGTGAAGGAAGATGCTGAAAAAGTATAAGAAGTGGAAGATAAAATGTTTATTTTACCACTGGAACAGTTGTAATTGGTTGTAAATTGTATCCCATTCCATGCAGTAAAAGAAAATTGTCAAAATCTGTTCCTTTACTTTAGAATGAACTGATCAATCATTCCATAAAATAACAAAACAGTACTTATACTGTTAGGCAATAAATGTTTTAAATTATTAAATATTTTGTGTCTGGTGAGAAAGTGTATATCAGTACAGTAATGAAGAAAGAAAGAAAGAAAGAAAACAAAAAAAAGTGAGGTTTTGATGTTATCTAAAAGTACAGGGGTGAATTCAGGGGGAGGGAGGGGTAATGCCTCACTCCCAGTAAGTTTCCCTCCCATCAAATATTTTTTGTAATTTTACTTTATTTATTCAAAACAAAACATATGTAGATTTCATATCATCTAATGGAATATTCACTTTATGAATATACATTTTTTTCCAACATACATATTACATATTTATTTTAAAAATATTGAATGGTGGAGGTAGTGTGCGATGAGGGCACCAAATTGAAATTTCCCCCCACCATACTTTCTGAATATGCCCCTGTAAAAGAAAAGATTAGAACTACTAGAGCTCTTAGAATTTGTACTAAGAAGAGAAGTTTCCTTAGTACAAATGGGGTCAGTGAATTTAAATAGAAAGGTTATGAAAATAAATATCATGTATGTAAATGGTGCCATACGACACAGCAGAGTAACATCTGCTTTCAGAGAATGTATAGTGCCATATTACCATACGTAACTATGAATATTTTGAGAGAGAGAACAAAAAGGACATTCATGCACAATTACATAATTCATAAAAGTATGTTTCTTTGTTTAGAAAATGTAGCAATATAAACATATAAGTAAGTACTGTAGTATGAATTTTATTTGTCTCATTTATATTCCACTTAAAATTCTTTATTGTTTTTCTTAATCGTTTTGCTTACATTTCAATTCCTCAGGATTTTGCTG